TTCAGTCTGAACTTGTCCAAACTTCTCTGTGGTGCGGTAATCAGAGTTCCCCAGGCTTGGCCACTGAAGGGTCCCTGTACCACACTCTCCTTCCTGGTATGGAGTTTCTGTCTGCTGCCCTGGCCCTGGGGGAGGGGTGTGGTGAGGGTGCTGCTGAGTCACCGCCTGGGCATCTGGGCCTGCACCACAGGGTGAGTCACCTCGGACTGGGGGGAGTACTGAGAGGAGGTTGGGAGCTGGGGGAGGGCAAGAAGCTGCTGGACATCTGGAGGGGGGAGGGGAGCTGGGCCTACAGGAAGGGCGGTGCCCAGACTGGATTGGGGATAGACCAAGAGCAGCAGGTGAGGTGGGCCTGGGAGGGGGCAGCTTTCTAAGGGTTATCCCAGATTGCTTCAATCCCTCCCTCCCTCCCTCCCTCCCTCCCTCCCTCCCTCCCTCCTTCTCTCTCTCTCTCTCTCTCTCTCTCACACACACAAACACTTTCACACACACAAACACACACTTTCACATATAGGCTTGTGAAGTCCCAGCGTGTGCCTGCAGCCTGTGACACGTGAATGAGCTCTGACTCACAGGCATGTCATGAGAACAAGGCCTGGTATGAGTCTCCAAGTCCCACGAACAACGGCTCCCTCCCCTCACCCTGGGCGTAGGCTGCCCCTACCCAATGACACTTCCCAACCCCCTTTGGCCTGGGTAGGCCCAGAGTCCTCCTCCAGCTGATCTCACCTGGTCCCCTCCCCATCTCTGAGAGGGAGGGGACCAGGTGAGAGGGGAAGGGGTTGGCTGGAGGCCAGGTTTGGCAGGATCAGGTTAGGGCAGGTTCGGTTTCCTGAAAACGCCACGTCGAGGGCCAGTGAGGCCAGCGTATAAATCCCGCTCTGAGCACCTTGCCCTTTGCTTTCCTTCGAGTCTCTCTCTGCAGTCTGGTCTGGTGAGTACCTCTGTGGTGCTGAGGGCTGGGTGGGGAGGACCCCTACGGGTCTCTGCCTCTGTCCCTTTGTCCTGATCTCTTTCCTATAGTTTTCTTTTTCTGGCTTCCTCGGTAGATCAGCCTGGGGCCTCTCTGCATGTCTCCCATTGCGGGGATGGGGGTGGGGGGTGGGGTGGGGGGTCGGGGGGTGGGGAGGGGTGGTGGTGGTTCTTCTGTGAAGTGTCACTTTGATTTTTACTTCCCCAGTTCCTCTGGGAGGTCTGTTTAGGGGTGATTCTGAGGCCCTCTCTTGGATTTTAGTCTGGGGGTCCCCTGTGGGTCTCTCAGTCTGGGTGTCTTAGTCTAGAGGCCCTTCTTGGAGGTCTAGGCCTAGGAGTATGAGGGGTGTGTATGTGGGTGCTTTAACAGGAATCCTGAATTTTGTTTTATTATTATTATTATTATTATTTTTTGCAAAGTTCTAGATTCTAGCCGGAGTAAGCAGCAAAAGCCAGGAATCTCAAGTGTGTGGGCGCGCTGGGGTCTGCCCTGAATAGCAGCATAGCTCTGCCCGCTACAGCTTCCTGTCTTTTCCTGCCCCGTTGCCTGCAGGCTGGCAGGATCGACCCCGGGGTTTTCTTGCCTCCCTTCCCAGCTCCTCTGGCCTCATCCTGGGATCTGCCGTGGGCTGGTCCGAGCATTTTCAGAGTCAGGGCCTTCAGAAAGGTGACCTCTGAGGTCTGTCCTGTGTCCCCAGATTCTACCCTTGTGTCTGCCCTGATCCCAGGGCAATGGACATTTAATTTCTTTAATTCCAAACCCAATAGTATCCTCCCTGATGGGGAGGGTGTTTATGCCCTGTCTGCAAAGAGCCAGCACCCCAATATGAAAGGAGACATTCCCTACCCTCTAAGAGCACCTAGTCTGAGGGAGACACCATTTCTGCCTAAGGGAGCTTCCACTTATTTTAATTAAAAGAAAATTTAAAAATATGTTTTTTTTAAAAAAAATTATTTCAGAGAGGAAGGGAGAGGGAGAGAGAGATACTTCCATGATGAGAGAGAATCATCGATTGGCTGCCTCCTGCACACCCCCTACAGGGGATCGAGCCCACACCCAGGCATGTGCCCTTGACCGAGAATTGAACCGTGAACTCCTGGTTCATGGGAGCTGAGCCAGGCTAGATTTTTTAAATTTTTTAAAGCATGTGTTTATTTAATTTATGTATCTTTTTATCTTTATTGTTGAGAGTATTACAGATATCCCTCTCTCCCCCCTCCCATTACCCGCCTCCACCAGTTCCGCTCAGGCTCCAGGCCTTCCCCACCCTATCGTCTGTGTCCATGGGCAATGCACACATGCATGTAAATTCTTTGGTTAATCTCCTCCCGGCTGCTACCCCCCACCCCCTGCGCACCTTCCCTCTGGATTCATCACTGTGTTCTATGTTTCCATGCCTCTGGTTCTATTTTATTCATCAGTTTATTTTGTTCATTAGATCCCAGGGAGAGCGACATCCTTTGGCCTTAGGAGCCCCATCTGAGGACAGAACCAGCTCCTCAGGGAACCTTGTACCCTTAGGCTGTAGCCATGGTTACTGCCCTAGTCCAGTGAACCCCCATTAACTAGCTCATGGATACACCTGTCACCCCAGTGTTGGCACAGAGTCCACTGGCCTGAGAAGGAGCCAAATGGGACTCTGATCACCCTGTCATTTCCCTTCCCACAGACACTCAAAGGGGGGAGCCCTGCCCTCAGGGTATGTCCCAAGGGTGATCATAGGAGACATGAGGCTCTGCCCTTGGTGACTTCCAAACACAGGGGAAGGTTTAGCATCTGCCCTCAGTGTGAGGTAGAGGTGTGGTCCCTGCCCAGGGAGCCACAATCTGAGGGGGAGAGGCAGCCCCTGCCTTCCCATCCAGAGAGGGATTTGGAGAGGTAGTTTGGGGCACGAGGGCAGAAGTGGGTCCTGTAGGCTGGGCTGAGGCGTCTCCAACACCTGTTGCTACTTTAGCCCCAGATCCAAGATGGCCAGTTCTCTGGAGCAGGCATTGGCTGTGATGGTCACTACCTTCCACAAGTACTCTGGCAAGGAGGGTGACAAGTTCAAGCTGAGTAAGGGGGAGATGAAGGAACTTCTGCACAAGGAGCTGCCCAGCTTTGTCGGGGTAAGTGGGGCTGGCCGAGGGCGGGAGGCTCCTGGTGTGTGAGTGTAGAGGCACCTGTTAAATCTATTCTCCCTTCCTCCGGGGTGCCTGCTGATGCAGACACCGGGGTGGGGCGGGGGCCCTTCATGATCTCACTGAAGTGCGAGTGAGGCCCAGGTGTGAGAGCCCTCTTATGGCTGTTCCCTGCAGCTTTCCAGAGAATGGATGTGCTATCAGTGCCTTCAAAGTCCATCTGTTCAACCCCCTTGTTGGCGAGTTGAACAAACCAGAGCCCAGAGAGGGAAAGTGCCTGGCCCAAGATCACACTGATCTTTCTCTCTCTCTTTTTTAATATTTATATGCCAAACTGAGGTGTGTTGGGGAGAAAGGTCCAGTTAAGACATGCACCTTGAGACATTTGCAGAGAAATGCAGTCAACTTTCCATTTGCCCCTCGCCCTCCCCATACCAGCTACTGGATAGTCCCAAAGTCAGGTCTCAGGCTCTGAACCTATGAAGCAGGTCCTTCTTTCCTTTAAATACTTTTTGGGGTCAAACTTTTAAAATTTGATTTCATTTTGGCTGGCATTAAAAAGAGCTTGCCTTTTCTGAATTCACCTTGCTGGTGATGGAGAGTGGCTCCAATAGCTCTAGTTTCTTCATCAGCAAAACAGGGCTTATGATGCCCATCTCGCCCGGCTCCTGTGGGGAGTAGAGCTGATCCTGTACTTGGGGGTTGCCTGGCGTGCTCCCCGTTCCCAGCAGGGAGAGCTGAAGACTCCCACCAATGAGCATCCATCTGTTCTCCCTCATGGGCCTCTTAGTAGTTCCCAGGGACTCTGCCCACCACTTACTGCTGCCCAGTTCGAAGGGACAGCTGGGCTGTGAGTGTGTGTTTGGGGTGGAGGTGGGGTAGAGAGCGGCCTGGCGATGACTCCATTCTCTCTTGCTTTCAGGATAAGGTAGATGAGGAGGGCCTGAAGAAGCTGATGGGCTCCCTGGATGAGAACAGTGATCAGGAGGTGGACTTCCAGGAGTATGCTGTTTTTCTGGCCATTGTCACTATGATGTGCAACGATTTCTTCCAGGGCTTCCCAGCCAGGCCCTGAAGCAGAGCTCTCAGCTCCCAGCCGTGGGTCTCCTGGGCCCAGGAGGACTTCCCATCCTTTGTAGTTTTGTACTCAATAAACCTGTGTTTGTCTGTTGATAATAGTGTAATTGCTCAGTGGTGCTCCGTAACCTGGCGGGCAATGTTGAAATCTGAGGGCCTCCTAGATCTCCTTTCTGGGCCCTGACCCTCCATCTAGAAGTCTCTCCAAGGCCAGAGCTGTGCCGTAGGTACCACACTTTGGGGTTTCAAATACCAGTAAAAATTTAGAAATTGAGATAGTTTGCTAACATTAAAAAAAAATGATTTTAGAGGTAAAGAAGGGGGGAGGCAGAGAGAGAGAGAGAGAGAGAGAGAGAGAGAGAGAGAGAAACATTAACACTGGTGTGAGACAGAAACATTGATGGCTTGCTTCTGGTTTGGGAATCAAACCCACCACCTTTTGGTGCATGGGAAGATGCTCCTACCAACTGAGCCATCTGGCTAGGGCCATTTGCTAATATATATATATTTTTCCAAATAAAGATATTAAAAAAGGCAAATCCCATCCACCATCACTATCATTTCACAAAAAAATTCCACCAAAGAAGGAAAGATACAGCCCTAGCCGGTTTGGCTTAGTGACTAGAGTGTCGGCCTGGGGACCAAAGAGTCCCCGGTTTGATTTCAGTCAAGGGCATGCATGTACCTTGGTTGCAGGCTCCTCCCTGGCCCGGGCCCTGGTTTCTCTCACATTGATGTTTCTGTCTGTCTTTCCTTCTCAATGGAAAAATATCCTTGAGTGAGGATTAACAAAAAAAACCCAAGCAAACAAAAAACAAATAAACAAAAAAGCTGTTCTGATGATCTATTTCTGCATAACAAACCACCTCAACACTTGGTGAATTAAAAAGTAAATTCATTATCTCTCAAGGTTCTGTGAGTAGGACTGGGGTTAGTTGATGGGGTTTCTCCTTGGGATCTCTCGTGCAGTTGCAGATGAAAGTTGGGGCTGGAGTCACCTGAAAGTTCAAATGAGCCCGGCCAGAGTGGCAGTAGGTTGAGTGTCTTCCTGTGCACTGAGAAGTTGCCAGTTCGAGTCCCTGTTAGGGCACATACCTGGGTTGTAGGTCAATCCCTAAACAGGGTGCATACAGAAGGCAATTATTGTCTCTCTCTCTCTCTCTCTCTCTCTCTCTCTCTCTCTCTCTCTCTGTCTCTCTCTCTTCCTCTGTTGAAGCATGTCCTTGGGTGAGAATTAAAAAAAACAACAACATTAAAAAGCAAAAGGAAGTTCAAATGAACTCAACTTCCAAGGTTGCTCACTCAGTATACCTGGCAATGGATGCTGGCTGTCAGCCAGGAGCTAAGCTAGGACAGTCATCTGGAACACCTTCCCATGACCCCTCTCCATGTGGCCTGGGCTTCTCAGAACTTGGTTCTGAGAGGGAGTGTCTCCAAAGTGAGCATCCCAAGAAGCCCAAATAGGAGCTGCCAGGCTTCTTAAGATTTAACTGAGAAATCCCAGAACATCACTTCTGCTGCATTCTATTGATCAAGGAAGTCATTAAGGCTGGCTCATATTCAAGGGAAGGAGAATTAGGCTCCATCTGTTAAGGTGAAATTGACAGCAACTCTCTTGGAGGCTATATGTCATAGTCTGTCTTCCAGCAATCACAGTTCACAGTTCATTCCATATGCAAAATGAACTCACCAGCATCTCATCCCATTAAGGCAGCAACTTGAAGCCCAGGATCTTGTTATCTAAGTCAGGTTGAGATATGAATGAGGTTTCTGAGGGGCAGTTCCTCCAGTACAGCTTTTCAAGAATATTTCCCCTTGACCGGAGAATCTGTGAACAGCACATTCAATGTACAAAGGAGAGACAGAGACAGGTAACTACAATAAACACTCCTATTCAAAAGGGGGTGGTGGTGGATTGGAGGCACAGAGTGTTTATTGGTCTATAGCAATTCTGAAGTTGAGTCAAACATATGTCACCAGATTCTTGATTATGGTTCAGCTCTTCTCCCTATAAATGGTTCTTGGGTCTACCCTCTAAGCTCTTTGTTTTATTTTCTGAGCTAAGTCGTTTTTATCAGAAATGTCTGTTTGCTTCTTGCCCATAGAAAGTTTAAGACTCAAAGATTCTTTTTGTTTTGAGGCGTCTCTGTCTCTTTCAGTCCAAGATGGTACAATTCTTTTAAAAATGTTGTAGGCTTTCTATGTATTAACTTACTAGAGGCCCGGTGCATGAAATTCGTGCATGGGTGGGGTCCCTAGGCCTGGCCGGAGATCAGGACTGATCAGGTTCCTTGCCTCCCAGCCTCCCCGCCTCCCTGCCTCCTCCTTCCCTCACTGACCACCTGCGTTCGCCGCCACCCATCCCCTGGTTCCCTGTCCCAGCCCGGGGGCCAGGGGGTAGCGGGGAGGAATGGGGAGGTTGGCTGGCAGGCCCCATCAGCAATCGGAGCCCGAGGGCTGGGGGCAGCTCCTGCATTGAGCGTCTGCCCCCTGGTGGTCAGTGTACATCATAGTGACCAGTTGTTCCATCATAACGGTTGCTTAGGCTTTTATATATGTATATGAATTGCAGAGAACCTGACTAATAATAGTGGCTTTACTTGTCCTACATAGTAAGAAGTCTGGGTAGGCAGTTCAGGATTGGTTCAGGGGCCCCAAGATCCCAGAGATCCTGTCTGACACCAAGTGTCTTTTTATTTTTTGCCCTAATCTATAGCATATATGCTTTCCCTCTCATGCTTGTTGCGTTATGATCACAATATGGCTGCTATACCTCCAGGTCTCACCATCCATGTTCCAAGCTGGAAGACAGAGAAAAGGTTAGGTGCAAAAGGTTTTCTCCTTTGCCTTTTTATTTTGCAAGAAGTACTCTCCCCAGGTATTTCCACCGACATCTCTTTGGCCTCAACTATGTAATATGACTAGCCCAGGCTGCAACCAAGTATTTTTAGCTCAACATGTTCACACTTTGAAAAAATAAAAGAATTTTTAGAATAAGGAAAGAGGGGATGAAAAGTAGACAAGCATAGACAATATTTTCCTGAATTGTTTTCTTACTTCCCTGGGAAACGCTGCTGCTTGGGAACCACTTACAGAGGAGCTCAGACTAGCGCTCCCCAGGGATGGAGAGGAGACAGTTCTGGGACAACTTGCTTGTCCTCGCTTTCTGTTCTGCCTCAGCTGCATGCCTGGGGCTGGTGAGGCCAGGCCAGGCAGACTCTAGCAATAAAAAGCGAGAAGCCCACTTTGCTAATATCCTGTAGGAAAGGGAGCCGGTGAATATAGGTCAGGGAATCATGATCATGGCAATTAACATTTTCACAGCCGTTCCCAAAGCTCTGTTGGTGCACATTGTCATTTCAGCTTCCTGGTAACCCCGGGAGGAGCTATCATTAGGCCCTTTCACAGATGCGGAAACCAAAAGGGAAGAGCACCTGCCACTCATGGAGCAGTCCCTCTGGCCAGGCTTTGTGCTGCGCCTGCTCCAACACCATCTCATTGACTCCTCGGCAATTGGATGAGAGATGTGCCATGAGTTTCTGCACTTCAGAGAGGGGCTGGGAGGGGTTAAGTAAGGAGCAGGGCTGGAACTTGACCCGGGTCTCTAAGAAAAGGTCTCAAAAAACCCCACAAAAAACCAACCCTCCCCAAAACAACCCCCAAAACCCAAAAAACAGAAAAGGTCTCACTCCTATGTGACATGGGGGTGGCCATCTGGGCCTTCGTCCCCTCCCCACTGCCATCTTCAAAGCCTTGGCTTTGTGTCAGGTGAAGGGGACCCTGGGTGAGCCGAGTCCAGATGCTCTGGATCAATGGAGAACTAGGCCACTCGGTGGCATTATTATAGTCTAATCGTTTACCATGGATCCCAGCCTCTGTTGGGGCTCAGATCCAGGTTCTGGGGGACACTGGCCTCAGCTGCCTGGGGATGAATGGGGCTAATTTCTTTTCCTCCTGCACATGTGACAATCTAATACTTTCTTAGCTGATCTCAACAATCTTCCCTTGCCGTGTCCCTCCCCGCACATCTCTGTGCCGAGGCAGAGAGCACTCAGGGAGGGTCTGGAAAATGGCACTGCTCACAGAATCATTGGCCAGGTTCTCTCTCACTTCCCACTGGGATTGTGATTGGGGGGAGAGCCTCAGGAATACATACCTCATCTCCCTTCGGGTCTGACTGTCACTTTGGCCTTTGGTCTTTTGGGTGAACCCCTGGCAGCCTATTGGCCCTCCAAGAAAAGAGAGACAAGGCAAAGGTGGGTTCTGAGATGGGAGTGACTGAAATAGGGCTTTCCATGCTTCTGTCTTCAGATCACTTATCTCCCCACCAGCTCACTGCTCCTATCTGGGAAATGGGCACAATTGGGCATTGACTTGTCAGTCAAAAGGGGTAGTAGGTCTAAGCCCCACAGAACTAGACCTGACCTTCAGGGGGCAAGGCATTTTCCTGGGGGCCTTTATAAGGTGATGGTGGTGATAATGGGGGACAGAGACAATGAGAAATGGGGAGAGGGTCAGTGCTTTAAGAAGCCCTGGCAGGCCAGATAGCATCTGCTCTCACCCCTCACACTCTCATGCTGCTTCTGTGGGGAGCATCTCAGCTCACATTTATGCCCTTACCATGTGCTAGGCTACTTATCTATGAACTTTGTGTACATTAACTCATTTCAGCCCCACAGCAATCCCATGAAATGGTTACCATTATTATCCTCCATCATTCACAGACGAGGAAAACGAGGCCGAGGGTGGGGTAAGGGGGTGACCTGCTTCTGGGAAGTGGCTGGTGGCAAAGCTAGGATATCATAGATGAGAATAAGTGCTTGACCTAGAACTGAGTTAATTGCTGGCCCACTCTGGCTTCCATGTTTATACCCTAATCCCTATAATCTCTTGCCTATAAAACAGGGTTGTCTGGTGTGGCTCAGTTGGTTGGAGGGTTGTTCCATGTACCGAAGGGCTGAGGGTTCGATTCCCTGTCAGGATACATACCCAGGTTTCGGGTTCAATTCCCAGTCGGGGCGTGTACTGAAGGCAACCTATTGATGTTTCTCACATCGAAGCTTCTTTCTCTTT